GCTGGAGTGTGATGTAGTTTTGATTGCATGATCAGAAATGAACAGAAGCGTTTGCGCTGGGAAAAAATTCAAAAACCTTAGTCCAAATTTTTTTATATGCCTTTTTTTTACGTTAGTCGCGTGACTAATCTGACTACCCCTAGATCCGCCCCTGTGTGTAAGTACGTATGTTTTATTTATGGATTAAATTGTTGTTGTTGTTGTTGTGTTGTTATAATAATAATCCTTCTCTACTGCACAGTGCGTCCAGGAGAGGGTCTGGGACTTGACTAAAACATCACCCTCGCGTACAAACTGCAAATAGACTGTTTGGGTGTGTTTTTGTAACCTTTCTTGTGTCTGACTAGAAAATCAGTCAAGTACTAAGAGCCTTCCCGTCTCAATTGATGTGCGTGCAGGATGTGGAATCAAATATTAAGCACTATGGCAGGAACTGCACCTAATATCAGGGAGATCGACACTTGTGTGCACAGTCACGCGCTCAATACATACTGACCTGCAGTTATTATTTTCTGTCACAAACAGTCACATCACATGCGATGATATCTAATTGACGCACTTCTCGTTAATGAATTATTTTACAGTAGAATCCTTTCTATCCTTGCGCAGTTCTAGTAATAAAAACTATTCTTCGACTATTCTTCATACAATAATCAGTATTAAGTGCTAAGGGAAAGTACATTTATTATGCCGAGGGGGGGATGAAGATGTTAAGGGGGGGCTCCGAAATATTTTCTGGCATTAAAGGGGGGGCTCTGAAAGTTCTTGATATACTGAAGGGGGGGCTCTAAACTTTTCAAAGGTTTGACCCCAGCAAATTAAAGTTAAAATTTTTACATTTTCAGGTAAAATTTGCGTAATAAAGTAATTATTTTTGTGAAATGATAACCATTTTTGTAAAATACAGTCAATTTACATGCAATTTGTTTGCGAAATGTGCTTTAGAAAACGCCAGAAATTCAGTCCTAGAGCTTCAAAAATGTAAAAATTTTCTGGGGGAGGACCCCCCTTTTCTCCCAAAACTTAGTATGAGAGTGCCAATCAATCACAAAAGGCTTTATTATAATTATTACACGTACAATCCTCTGACATCCCCCCCCCCCAAACGTCAGATGCTTTGCTACGTCCCTGATGGTTGTATTCGAAACCGATTTCAGTTTTAAGATATCCTTAGTCTGCTCTTCTAAATGGATACATGAAATCACCTATAGCTTATTTTAAATTTTTTGGCGCCAGGTTTGTGAAGTAATTTACGCGCCAAAAAGTAGCAGTTCCAAAAACAAAAAAGCATATACGATTTGCAAGAATGATATGTTCTATGTTTATGGGATATTTCGTACAAACGGGATGGAAATTAAAGAAATTGAAGCATACTGGCACTTTTGCATGCATTTTTGACAGGCATGCAAAGGCATTTGCAACAGATGCCGGGAGATACGTTGGGTGGGGGCGACATACTGTAAGGTTCCAGCACATTACCCTGATCCAGGAAATCCTGGCCACTACATGAACATGTTCAAGACTCCGAATACGCTGAATGATGGACAACAACAACCTGTTGATAATTTCACCCCTAGAGCCAATTTAAAATGTTTTAAAGACGGTGCCATTTCATCTGGCGCTAGTGAAGTGAAAGAAGCAGCAGATTGGTAGTTTTGTTGAGGAGAAGCACATGCTTGAGTATATCAGACATCTTGAGTATATCAGACAAATTGTATCTATGATAAGAGAGAATTCCGGATTGTACTCCTTCGATTCTGAATTCTAGAGGGGAGGGGGGGGGGCATTGAAAATTTTAAAAACTTGGAGGGGGGGCATCGAAATTTACCGATAACCTCAACAGGGGCCCTGTAAAAATATGAGCTTTTTTCAAGACATCTTCATCCCCCTCCCTCGGTGTAATAAATGTACTTTCCCTTAGTTATGAGCGACGTCAGGAAGATTTTTTCACAAATTGGTGTGTTTTCATAAATGTACATCACGCAATAATTTGTGTTGAAATCCAACTAATACTGAAATATTCGATCATTATTTTTTGCCTTCATCTGTCCATTTGTGGATTTAATCTTTTTAATACAGTGATGTATTACGTTCCGCATATATGTAATTTGTCGTCGTATGCTTCCATTTTACATAGGCCTTAGGCTTGGGTTTTGTGGTTTGAATACTTATTTATTTAGGATAAAATGTAAATTATCACCAGCTTGTGCGTTTCATGGATATCGTGAATAATCAGTTTCTTGTCCACAATATGCTGTTCAAAGAGTTTTATTATTTAGCCCTGCTGTGCAATTCTTGGCAAATGGAAAAAGTTCAACTTTGTTTATACGGGCTGTAAGAATTCAAATAAATCGACATTTTATGAAGCCGTTCAAAAGTACATATAATTATATACACTCGACACTATAATCGCTATTCCAAACCAATTGTTCTTGTTTTATTACTATTATTATTATTATTATTACTATTATTATTATTATTATTGTTATTATTATTATTAATTCTTAAGAATTCTCTGTTTGTTTCGAATTTGGACGTGAAAGCCGTAGATAAGCCATATTGCTTTTGACTCAAACTTGTATTTTTTTCTCATGTAAAAATACAATTTTTATAACTCGAATATATTTTTAATGTATTCAAATTAAACCGAACGAATCGCCAGCGGGTTATTTTGGCTTACGTCTTTCAATTATATATTGAATCAGAGCATAGTTTATGATCAGAGGTGATGTAAATCAAAATACACCGTTAGTCATTTGTTCGGCTTAACTGGAAACATTAAAAATGTGCAAAAGCGGCCTCGGTTTGCCCGTTCGAGCAGCAAATTCATTAAAATATCTTTATGTCAAATGAAAGTAGAAAAACGTGTGGGAAATTTGTCGACGCTGATCAAAAAACCTGTTAAGTAACAGTAATTAAAAGTGGTTAATAATTAAAATGTAATATAATGAGGAACAGGCTGCACGCGATGCGCAATGTTTACTATTAACGTTACATGCTGCGTTGCCTGTTGCGTTACCACACCGACGAGAAAACACATATTAACCCGAAATTCCCCTTGAACTGACAGTTTGTGTGGTTTGTCGCGCCAGAGAAGAGCTTGTAAAATTGTTGCCAAGTTTACAAGTGTATCCCTGGAAAAATCATACTTGTAAATATATTTACGTATAGCGGTGTGCTGTATTTTCTTCTCATGCAGAATTTAGCGGGCTTTGATCAAACTTGCAACACATGCAGTCAAATATATTTCAACGTCGGACAGGGAGTGCAGGACAGATTCTTGCATGACGGCCGAAATCTGGCGACTAAGATTGTTAAAAGCGAGTCGGAATGTTTCGTAGAATGCTCGTTTGATTGTCGATGCATGTCCTTCACTGTTTGTGAGAATTCATGTCAGTTGAATGCTGGAAGTCGTAAGTTGGTGAAAAAATCACTGCGACATAAGCATGGGTGTCGTTACTATGATCTTCCACCGTTTAAGGTAAGTCCATCATCGTATCAAGAAAATTTTGGCACAGGCGTTTTATTATATAAGCATTTCCAAACGCATCTCTTCTTTTCAATATTTTACGCGAATATGCATGCAGATGTGAGAGAATAGTCGAGCACGCGAACAGTGCTCGGCAAGAATGTTTAAAATTAAGGCACAGGAATTTTTTCGACAGAAGATTTGTTACTTGAAAATTTGAAGAAACACCTATACAGTAACACATTTGTCTCACCACAACAATTAGTATTCGAGAGGCATTTTTATTCCTTAAGGTCAAAGCCATGCTCAGTATATAATATTTATGCAGACAATGGCTGGGGTTTTCACAATACTCTGCTCGTTTGCAGAAAATTGCTACCGTCAGGTTGTTCGTCGTCTGTATTAGCCCTCCTTGAAATGCTACACACATGGTTTGTCGCCTTGGAGAAACCCAAATCGGTAATTAGAATCGTTTTCTTGGATTTTTCCAAGGCATTTGACCTTATAGATCATAACATCTTGCTGAATGACTTTAAATCTGTTGGAGTTCGTCCCGCTTTACTACCATGGTTAGCCTCGTACCGGTTACAGAGGGTAAACATAGATGGATCGACATCGTGTTTTAAAAAGATCAACGCAGGGGTACCTCAAGGAAGTAAAATCGGCCCGATAGCATTTATTACCAAAATTAATAAACTACAAGATTTGGCACTCACTGACAAAAATTCAGGAAAAGAACATGTTTCAATTTTTATGGACGATACTGCCTATCAGATATTCTCAATATAAATAACCCTGAAACCCACCCAGTGAGCAACATCCAAGCAAATGTTGAAAGAATTTCAAAATTTTCAAGAGAGGAAAACATGAGGTTGAACTTGTAATCGACCTTCGAATTATGAAATCTGAAATACCAGTGATTACGATAGACAACATTCCTATTGAAAGAGTGCAATCCCACAAGCTATTAGGCATTTGGCTTCAATCAGATCTCAAATGGCATACTAATACATTTTTTATTATTAAAAAGGCCAGGAAACGCCTATATTTTTTAAAGGTGTTAAAGAAATATGGCGCACCAGTAAAAGATTTATTAAAGTTTTATTGTTCAGTGATTCGATCGGTTTTGGAATACGGTGACATATTATGGCATGGAGGCCTATAATATTATCACAAAGTCAAGATATTGAAAGAATCCAAAAACGTGCTCTAAGAATTATCACTCCTGACCTAAGTTATGAAGATGCTCTTGCTTCGTCTAAACTACTTCCACTTAATCAGAGACGGGACATACATTGCATTGACTTAATTAAAAACATGTCCTCTCCGTTACATAAATTACACTACTTATTACCTGTGAAAGTGGAAAACATTAGAAATAGGGAAACTAGATCCAATAGAAACAAATTTTATACTGTAACTTTAAAAGTAGAACTGATCGTTTTAAGAACAGTCCACTAGTCTATGCTATTGATAAATACAATAATAATATATAATGTTCTTACTATAGATGTAAATAGATATAGTTTTAATAACATTTTAATAGATTAGTAGTAGTACCTATGTAAATACATGACAATTAAGTTATCTTATTCCATGTATACTATTAAAACCAAGTATTATTATAAGAAAGTTATTTTTCCACCCTTGAACGCTACTTTCTGACAACATGGTTCAGTAAATACTAATGCATCTAATGATCATGTACTATATATATATTTCATTTTGACCATGTAATTTCTCACTTTTCTAGAGTACATGTGATTCCTCATTCAGCCCACCAAGACTTTGCTGCTTGCCCTCATCTCCATTGTGTTATAACGGGGCTACCTGTGTCGTCAATGTCATTGACACGACCAGACGATTCCAATGCCAGTGCCCGACTGGCTACTATGGAAACGAGTGTCAAATAAAAAACCCGAAAACATGTTTGGATTATTGGACTGACAAAGTCAAACCGATGTCCGGAAAGTATACGCTTGTAGACTCGAGCGGAAAAATGTATGAAATCTTTTGTGATTTCGACTCGGAGGAAGGCATGGCGTGGACCCTCTTTGAATCATTTGATCTGAATCATCACTTTTACCTGCATGGTGGAATATTCGTTTACAGAAGATTATCCGAAAAACGAGCATAGTCTAAACTGGAAGCTTTTTCGCCTTCGAAAGTCTGTAATGTCCGAAATCTCGTCTCTTTCGACATTTTGGAGGGCAACGTGTTCCTATTCTGTGTATGGTGTCGACTTTAGAGACTACATCAGAGTGCGATTATCAATAGTGGATCCCTTAGCATACGATCATAGTTCGGAATGTTCAATTGTGGATTACTTCGATATAAAAGGTACGAATTGCATAAATTGCACTCAAATGATCCTCCAAACCAATAATAAGATGCTCCGTCTCCGACCCGACGTCAGTCGTACGAGTAAATGTACTTTCGACACATCAAAGGTCGAGCATCAATGTGACAATGGGCACTATGCGCGACTTCTTGGCCGCTATGACAAGTGTTCAGACCCGAAACACCGATGTAGTGAGAAAAATACGTCTACAACTGCATGAATTTTGGTTTGGTGCAGTAAAAAAGAACTATGAAAGTATGGGAACGACTTGAACACTCTGCTAGTGCCGCTGGGAGTGACCAATGATTTACACTTATATACTTTGCTGTCCTGGAAATGAAACAAAACTACTTTCATTTTTTATATTTTTACTTATTCAAACATTGTGACTAATGAATCACATTTTCCTTATGGCTATAGCCCATTCGTTGGCTAGCCCCCCTCATGATGTGAAACAAATAACAATTTGGCCGGCAAAGCGAGCCAAGTATCCAGACGCCTGCATTAGTTATTCGCCGCCTACGCTATTCCTGCATGTATAAATATATCTTGTTTTTAAATGCCTATCGCTGTATAAAATTATGTTCTCCCAACTGTTGAAGGCTGCATAGCTGATGCTGGTTTAATAGTTTAAAGTGGAAGTCAAGTCCGTATGTAAACAAACGGTTTGTTTATATTTTGAACTGCTGTATTTTTTAAAATATGATGTACTGTCTGAATATCTAACACCATTTTGGTTCGCTATGCTTCTAAATGAATATGAAATAAAGTTTATGTTCAGAAAAATTCGAAACATTCGAAATTTGGGCAATGTTTACATTAGAGGGTCCTCACATTGTTATGAGCAGAACCGATGCGCAGAACGGACTTGACTTCCACTTTAATAGTTTAATAAACAGGAACAGACA